TGTATGTATGTATGTATATGTAGTATATATATTGTTTATTATATATATATATATATGTGTGTGTGTGTGTGTGTGTGTGTGTGTGTATTTATATGTTTATGTTGATGTTTATGTCTATGTTCTATGTATATGTATATATATATATATTATAATGTGGATGTGTGTGTCTATATATATCCGTGTCTGTGCCCGTGCCGTGTTTGTCTTGTCGCTGTCTCTTTGTCTGTGTATATGTTTGTGTCCGTGTCTGTAAAACTGTGTCTCTCTGTGTCTTTGACTTTGAATTGTCTGTGCCTGTGAATCTGTGTCTCTCTATGTGTCTCTGTGTGTGTGTATTTGTGTGTGTGGTGTGTGTGTGTATACATATATTTTAATTTTGGGACTTCTGTCGCCGTTGGCACTTGTGTATATCGCACATATCATAAATGTCTGCGAAACAGCACTGTGGTTTTTATGTTGTAATGAGGAGACTGAGACTATGCGAATGCTTATCCAGCATGATTTGTAAACCTTTACTGGCCTCTTCTCCGTGCTCTAGGTCGTTGTACTTGGACTTTGGTTACATGATGAGAGCTGTTTCGCAAGATATGGATGATGCGGATGGTATGATTGACGAGATGAGTTACCTCGTGGAGAAAATGCGCGTGGAGACTCCAGTGGTGCAGGGACACATGTCTTATGTCTCGTAGTGTACTCTGCGATGTATCAAAATAGAACTATGTACGCATTGTGTTGCGGTTAGTTACACAAAAGACAAACAAATCATATCACGACCTCTGTGATATAAAAGACAAACAAATCATATTACGACCTTTATGATATAAAAGACAAACAAATCATATTACGACCTCTATGATATAAAAGACAAATTAATCATATTACGATCTCTACGATGCACTGCAGTGTTCGAAACGGACCACGCTTTGTCACGCCATCTACGACGGTGCAGCTGAAAGCGTCTACAACTAGCCTTGATGTCCCAAATTGGGTTGCTGATTATTTAGATTGGCATTTAACTCTTAGCATGGGCTTAACTTTGCTTCTTTTCCCTCTGGAGTCGAGGCGTTGATTCGATTATAAATACTTTATAGGGGTTTTGAGCTGTAACAATTGTGTAGCAGTTGTGCCGTATCCCACCCACAATTGTATTATTAAACTCTTTGTGGTCGTGTTAAATGTAGAATATTCAAAGAGCTACAACACAGCTCACTTGTATTTCGGAAGGCTGTGGCCTATTTTGGAAGCTAGACGCACCCGCTATGAAATTGCCTCAGTTTTGCGATAAACTTTGTGCCGAATGACCTGGCGGGAAAAAAACTTATCACCTCAATATAAAATATGGTACTTCAAGTAGTGTAGTAAGAAATACTATCCAACAGGTAAGTTGTGAAACAGCACGTTTGACAGCCGTGAGTAGAAGAAAGCTCAAATCCAGGTATTTTGTTCTGTTGATGAGAAGTTTCTATGTCATTTATTTCCTGCTGCCTTCCTACTTCTTTCTGGCTTTCTCTACGCTGGCGGCAAAGTACACAGCAAAAGCAGGAAGAGCCGTGGAGAACATGAAGTTCCAGGTAGTGGATACCTCCTGTAATCGACAATAAAACAATACGTTTTAATGAGAATTTGAACTGAGGTCGTGATGGTATTGGGCCAAGGAGTATATGGAACTGAAGAATTTCGATGTAGAATTCGAGAGTGCTTGGATATTGAAAACATCAATAGTTGGAATGATCGCAAGGACACTGAGTGGGGAGTGGCAATCTAGCGTGGCATTGGATAGACTAGAGACACAAGGTGCCATCGGTGTCGGCGAATACTAGAATAGTAATGGGGACGTCAGCATATAAACGGATAAAAATCTAACCATACACTCGATAAAAAAAACTAAGTATGCACTCCATAGAAAAAACTAACCATACACTCCAAAGCCTACCGCCAGTTCTCGAGATTTGAACAATAGTCTATGCCATTCCTAAACATACGCCCCCTCATCTCCTGTATGGAACGGATGTACCGTACGACTGCACTCACAGCAAGTAATTGCTTTAACATCGACACTTACGAAAGCAATTGCAGTATTTTGTATGTTCTAGTATACAGTACAAACACCTCAGACTCCTTCGCTCGTGAACACAGACATACATTGCTGTCAACAGCCCTTTAAACAGGAAGCAAGAAAATACCAGGACCCTCCAGCATGCTACACAGTGAGTTACCCTATATGTACACCATATATATGTACACTGCTCGACTAACACTTTATATGTACACAACTTACCATACATTTATATTTATATATATATTTATATATATTATATAAATATATATAAATATTTATATATATACAGTAAATGCCACATAAACTATAAACATATATACATATTTATATATATATATGCGTGTGTGTGTGTGGTGTGTGTGTGTGTGTGTGTGT